CCCGCGATGCCCGTTCCGGTTCCGATTAGCCCGCCTGCCTTGGCGAATTTACGTCCGATACCTGGCCACAGCCCTCCATCCCCTTTAAACACCTCTGCGAGCAGACTTTCCGGTAAATCTCTTCTCCAATTTATCCGCCAAAGGGACGAACGAAAAGTTCTCACCGCCAATTTTATTCTTCTGTTCAGACGTTTCAGCGGCAGGAGAGTCGCCGTCGCGCAACAGCACCCCGACGCCGCCCCCCAAGTCGCCCAATTCCATCAACAACAGCTCGAAGAGGATTCGAACCGCGTTCACCAGCACCCAGTTGTTGGAACTTGAGCGGGAATTCGCCTCCAACATGTACCTGTCCCGGCTCAGGAGAATAGAGATCGCGACGAATCTGAGATTGTCGGAGAAGCAGGTGAAGATATGGTTCCAAAATCGTAGGGTCAAGTACAAGAAGGAGGATCTTCCCTCGGGCCAGAGTCAGAAATGCTGTTGTCTTCGAACGTGCGGGAAGAGGAAGGAGGGGGTGTGCGGTGACGATTCGTCGAGTCGGAAATGCGAGCAGGATGATGAGAGGTCGATCACGAGAAACGCGGACAAATCCGTGGACGTTGCGATTGGCAACGTCGAGGAAACGTCGAACGTCGAAATGGCGGATCGTTTCGACCGCTCGTTCCCATCTTTCCCGGGGGCGGACAACTCGAAACGATTTCTACGGGAGGCGGAGGAGGGATTGAACGTTGCGGGGGTGATCGGTTACGAGAGGGACGTTCACGGTTTGTCGAGAGGGTCGAAGAGGAGGTTGGACGGGGTCGAGGAGGCCGAGGAGGAAGCGGAGGACAAGAAGAGACGGGTCGATGGGTCGCCGTCGCTTTATCGAAACGCGATTCAAGACACTGCTATCGCGCCTGTGTTCAGGGGTATAGGATGCACCAAGCACACCGTGGAGAGGATCGTTAATTCGTAGAAAATAAGATTTGAAAGGGAGAGGAAGAAGGGGATTCGCGTGTTTTCGTTGTATCGTTATTGTGTACGCGATCTACGTAAGTCTTGTAAATATTGTATATAATATATTTTTGTACGATAGAAGGAGAAGAAAAACGCTGTATACGTTTCGAGGAAAAAAATAAAATGATTGAAATTGAAATCATTGAAATTTGTCTCGATGCGATGCCATTTTGAATACCCTCGTTATGGAGTATTACGTTCCGTAATATCGCCGTTACTTTTTTACACGATAAATAACGTCTTATGACGTTTCCCTCGTTAGCTCGTTTACGTATATACGAACGATACGCGATTGATGGCGTAATTTCATTCGAAATTTATTTCATAATTTTCCAACTTGAAACGATAATAAATAGCAATCGTATGTAAAATACGTGTTAATTTAGAAGTTTATGAAAGAATTACGCGTTGAACAAGCGATAAATATTTCATAATGTAAAACGAGATAATTCGTGCCAATTTCATCGAATCGTAGCGTTGTTGCTTAAAATTCGGCCACAGCGGTAAGCCAGTGAATCATACGATTATATCGATTCCCCTATTACAAAAATTATCATCGAACGAAAAAAAAGGCAATTTGATCCGATCTAATTTGCACAGCACAACGTGGATAGTTGTTTATATCTATCAAAAAAAAATTGGATCGAAATGTTTATCGGTGATCTTCTTGCATCTCTCATTTCGTACAACGCATTGGCAGAATTCGAATGAAAGGTCGTCCATTCCAACAAGTAATAAAACCGGAAACAAATTTTCAATTTTCAACCAGCAGGGGATCGGGGAATCTATAAAAATTCACGAGCTACAATATTTTCATCGTGGATTACTCGTGATAAATAAAACACGGATGGAACGAGTTAACGATCATTAATTAGTAAATATGGATACGTGAAACGGGATCGTCGTCGTTAGCCCGTTGCCAATTACCCCGTCCACTTTCCGATTGTTAAGCCGCGATTATAAAACGGATTAAGAGAGCGAGAAGAATTGGACGAAGGATGAAAAAGGAGGAGGAGGAGAAGAAGGAGGAGGAGGCAGCAAAGGTGGCAAGGGACGTGGAAAAGAATCGGCGATGAACGGGCGCGTCATTGTCGACGTGAAATCGGGTGTGATGCCGTAAATCCTGGAAATTTGTCAAGAGGCCCCCACTTTGGGTCAAATTTAAGGTAAAACGTAGTTAATGGTGTTAAGGAGCGACGACGAGGACGACGACAATGGGCGGAGGCACTCTCGCATCCTCGTCGATCGACAATGGGACACTTGTGAGCTACTCGCGCTGTGGGTGAGCGAACCAATGAAAACCGGCTGTCTTTTTTTTTTTTCCTCACCTCCGCCACCAGGCTCCAGATTCCATTCACGAATCCTCGAGGTTTCGTACTCGGGGGCCTCATTCATCCGCGGCCAAGAATGAGCGACCGTTTAAGGGAAAAAGTCGGAATCAAAAAATTCAGCAAGGTTCGCGCGCCTCGTTTTCCTTTCTCTCTTTCTTTTTTTCTAAAGAGAGAGGAGAGCGGTGGTTTCAAAGGATCGGTTTCCTCTTTGATTCATAGGTTTCGAGTTTACTTACCGCTCGATGTTTTTAACGTTATTTTATATACCTCGAACATTTCGATGGAACTCGAATCGAATCCTCGATCGAGCCTCGAGGTAACGTTTCGCTATTTTCACCCGCTCGAGTTTTCCCGATTAGTTGAAAAATTACGCTCCTCCATGGGAGGAAGGAAGGGAAGAGGTTTGGAGAAGAAGTTGATCGGAGGGAAATATCCGTATTTCGCGGTGCGCGAATAACGATCGAAGCACTCCTTCCTCTCGTTCGTGTTTCGTTTGTTTGACTCGGGGCACAAAGGGAATTGTTTTTCCTTCCTCGCGCGCCAAGCTAAGAGATGAAAGGGGTATGTACATCAACGTAGTCGTAATCACATTATCGCTTTGGCATGCAGCGAATTTCGTCTCGAAAATACGATTTTCTTGGGGCGCAATCTACTTACTTAACTTACTCTCCCTCCTGCGAAACAACGACGCGACGTTCGTGATCAACAGATCGTGACGGAAACGCGACACGTTATCTCATCGAATAGTAAACTTTGAAATAAAGATTACTTTCGACAATTTTCTCTCGTCAATTTTTCCCCTTCGTTCTTTTTTCTTCTTCTTCTTCTTCTTCTTCTTCATTCAAACGGAGCAGATTTCCATTTCTAGTGGCGAATTCGAGCGAATTCCGTGTATCGGGGCAAATGATTCTGCGACTGGCGGTGGCCGGAGCGGCAATTCAATTTTCCAGACCCTCAGGCGTGTACAGGCCTCGTCATTCGCCTCGAATTCAATCCGATCCTAATGCACGATATGCAGATACGAGAGAAGCCAGTTCCTTTATTACGAATCTATCTCGACGCTTCGATCAAAGTTTCAAAGTCGACTAGGTAGATAGACGAAGAGAGGAAGAAAGAGGGGATCGAGAATTTCGGGGCGAGAAATGAAAATCAAAATCAGAAGACGGACAAATTTGAGAAAAGGCGAAAAATTAACGAAGAATCGGAAGGATCTTTCGTGGCTTGATTCAAAACTCGGTGAAAATTAATCGATTCGAAGAGAGGAATATCGCGTTAAAGAGGGAAACGTAGCCTCATTGGCCTTTATTACGCGGTGTTGATTACTATTGGAATTGTAATTATGGCCCGTATCGATGCGCCGCGTCGAAAACGATATTGGAATCGAGGTTGTTCCCGTCTCGAAATCGGATCGTTCGAGCCGGTTGAATAATTCAACCGAGAAAGATGTTCAAGAACATGTTGCGCGTTTTCGTAAACGATCGTGAACACGATCGTTGGACGGGTTCGTTCGCACGACATGGTTCCATTCCATTGGATCGCGCGTACGAACGTGAAGAAAAATTGAAGGGAAACCGCAACGGTTCTCGCGCGTGGAAACGAGAGAGAGAGAGAGAGCGAAAGAGGAGGAGGAGAGAGGAGATGGGGCGAGGAGGGATTAGAAAGGAGAGGAGGGTGAAGCGAGGCTTTCCGGTTCCGGAGCGCTAATTCATTTCATCTTATGCGCGGTGAAGAGGCGCTCGATCAAAGTTGAAAAGAGTGAGCGCGACAGCACTCGAGTAGCGGAATGGCGGGGGTTGCTCTCGTCGAAGGGGGAAGCACTCCGGGTGGTGGTGACGAGACGAGAGAGTAGAAGCGACGGCCACGGCTCGGTGCGGGCACTCGAAAGTTGAAACCGTTTTCTCGTGTTTGCCATTGCGGGGGGACAATGGCGAGGCGCGCGGTTTCAACGGTGAATGCAGGGAATCCCTTTTTAACGTTGTCGCGCCACGAGTACCGTAACGAATTTTTTCTTCCCCACAAAGGGCGCGCTTCTTCTCCGCGACACGCGGACAGAATTCCACCCGTTCTGGAATAACGGGCGCTCGCGTTGTTTGCGCTCACTTTGGAATTTATTCGACGCGAGCCTGATACTGAATTTTGAATACCTGAACCCGGGATTATACGAGGATTAATCCGCCTCGTATCTCGCGCGGATTTTTATCATTTTCGAGTGGAAGCGTATACAACGACGAAATCATTTCTCTCTTCCTCCTTGAGAAAATCGTTAAAATATATTTACCGTCGTTAAACTCGATTTCCTTCCTATCCGCGACGTCGAGTAACGAAAAGTCTTCTTTCGTCGACGTTATTTTTTACCAGATCTCGGATTAAAACTCGTATCACGTCTCACGAGTGAACGAATACGAATCTTTACAAAGAACGAATTATTATGGATGGTTGGCGCGCTCACGCGCGCTCCATTTTGTCCCCTCCTTTCGTCCCTCCGTCTTGAGGAAGGCATTTCGCCGCCTTACGACGATGACGGTGCACAAAACGTCTAAACGTTTCAGGGAAACGTGGAGACGAACGGCGCAGCTTTCTCATTGTGAGGCGGCCGCATTGTCCGATCGACTGCACTCGCCAACAACGTAAGCCACCGCAGCTACGCGCACTGTCCTCGACCAATGACACGAGAATAATTCCGCTGCACCGCCCACAACAACGCAACACGGGCGAATCTTTTACCTGAATTCGATTTAAAAAACTCTACACACCTCGATGACATTCAATTCGAGGCGAGGAATACGCGGCAACTTGTCGTCGATGGAAACCAATTTCAATTCGAATTGAAAAAGAAGCATTGGAAAATCATCCTTCCAAATCGTTTATCTTTTATCCGAGTTGATAATTAATCGTTCGCTCCAGTTATTACAATGTTATTCTACTTTTCTGTTATTATTATTAGCGGAGGGGAATTTCATCTACGAGAGAGAGAAAATTTGTTCAATAAGCGGGGATCCGTGGAAAAGCATCAAGTTTTGGAAGGTGACCCGGTTTCCCTCCGGTTTCTAGAGAAGAATAATAGAGACACGGTTCCGACGAGTCATTAGGGGATCGTTACACGTGGCAGGTGCCTTATCGCTCTCCTCGAGCGCCGTTTGATTTTCTTATTAAACCGTGAACCACGCACGCGTGTCCCACGCATCTGCCTTCGTCTAATTCTGCCACGCAACTTTCAGGAAATTAAGCTTCGTCGATTCGATTTATAACCGTAAAACGTGGCCGAGCGTGACGATCATCCTGGCGTCGAAGAGTTAACGGTGTCAATTCCACGAAAATGGAAAGGAAAAATAGGAAGAAAAGATCGTTGCGGCGAGTTTGAAGGCAACGAAGAGAAAAAAAGAAAAAAAAATAGAAATGAAAATTTAATTCATTCATTTTAATTCTTAGCAAAATATATAAATATTAAGTAAAAGAAATAAAAAGAAGGAGAATAAATTTTGAATTTTCGAGGTTTCAGATTCGAATTCAACTCATGTTTAAAGATCGTTTGTAATAATATAAGGATCGACGTAATATTTCCACTTGTTTCTTTGAAATTCGTCCTTTCGATTCCGTTTGTTACGATCCGCTTTGTGTCTACACGAGAAACTCGAATAGAAATTCTATCCTCTAGGAAGAGAGGATATAAACGAGACGTCTCATCCTTTTTCATTTTAATCGTAAGTAGAAATAGATGCACAAACGGTTCGTATGTATATATATATATATATATATCCCTGGTCTGGAGATGAGTGTTTGAAAGTTACGGGATAATGAAATAATAAAATTGTA